ACACCTGTGTAACCCAAATTCCTGTCACAATATAAAACATTATCATTGGGTACCTGGGTGGCTCCGTTGGTTAAATATTTGATTCTTGATTTCACTTCAGGTCCTGAAACCGAGCCCTGTGTCAGGTTCTGCACTTAGTGTAGAGTCTGTTTGTCCCTCTTCTCTGCTCTTCCCCACTACTCTCTCTCTCTCTCTCTCAAATTAATAAATAAATAAAATCTTAAAAAAAAAAAAAAGACACTTCATTATCATTACCCAGAGAGTTCCCTTATGCCTCTCCCAGGAAATCCCCCCACTACCCACCAGAAGCAATATTTTCTCTCACCTTTTTCACCCTGGATTAGATTAGATAGATTTAGGACTACATACAAATTAATTTACAGTATGTACTCTTCTTTGCAAGATTTCTTTGACTCCACATGTTTTTGAGGGCTCTCTGTGTTGTTGTCTGTATCAGTAGTTCTTTCTGCTTTATTGCTGCTTACTATTCCATTGTATGAACACACAATATTTTACTTTTGTGTTTTCGTAATTGATAGACACTTGGGACATAGCTGGCATGTATTAATTTTTATATGAAAATGTTAGAGCTTCTCAAAGTAATTACATTACTTTCTGCTAAAAATGAATGAGTATTTCAGTAGCTGCACATCTTCCCAAATATTCAGTGTTAGCATTCTTATTCGGTTGAGCCATTCTGGTGGGTGTTTAGTGGTACTCATTGTCTTTGATTTGCCATTACTTGATGAGTAGTGACAGTAGTGACTTTTTCATGCGTGTATGGAACAACCATCCATGTTGGTTAGTGAAGTGTTTGTTCAGATGTTTTGTCCATATTTTAATTCCGTTTTTTGTATTTTTATCTTTAAACTGGAGGATTATTTATATACCCTGGCACCAGTCCTTTGTAACATCTGTATTTTGTGGATATTGTCTCCCAGTCTATGGTATATTCCTTTTATTGACAGATTTTGAGAAGTAGCTTTTCATCTCGAAGACATCTTATTTATGTTTTAAAATATTTACTTGTTATGCCTTTTTGTGGCCTAAGAAAGTTTTATTTACTCCCAAGTCACCAAAATATTTTCCTTTAGAAGCTTTATCTTTTAGAGACACTCGGGTGGCTTTAGAGGATGCCCGGCTAGTCATCCGACTCTGGGTTTGGGCTCAGGTCCTGATCTCAGTGTCCTGGGAAGGAGCCTGGGGATGGATGCCCAGCTCCTCAGGCAGCCTGCTTGAGCATTCTGTCCTTCTGCCCCTCCTCACGCTTGCATGTGCACTCTCTCTTTCTCTCTCTCTAAACTAAATAAACCCTTAAAAATGATTAAAAAAATAAAAGCCTAATGTTCTAGCTTTTACTTTTAATAGAAGTGGATGGTATAGATTGAAGTTCGTTCTGTCCATACAGTGATTCCAGCACTGTTGGAAAATACTTTGCTTTTTCTCATTGGATCAGTTTACTGCCTTTGTCAAAAATCAGATGACTGTACTTGTTAAAGTCTATTTCTAGATTCTCTATATTATTCATTGATCTATTCATTATTCTTGTGCCAGGCCAGCAACTGTCTTCCTTATTATAGCTTTTCTTGAAATGCTTAAAATGCTTCAAAGTTGTTGTTTTTTTTTTTTTTTTTGAATGCCTGGAATGTCTATGTATGTATGGATGGATGGATGTATATTATGTTCAGTTAGCCAACATATAGTATAACATTGTTGTTCTTTTTCACGGCAGTTTTGGCTATTCTGAGATCTTTGCATCTGCTACCTAATCCTAATTATGGACTCAACCACACTAAGATTCAGCTACTTCCTAAGTAAAATATAGATGGAGTATGCATTTCTCAGTATTGGTGGGATGATTATGAAATAATCCATACAAATGAATTGAAGAGACTTTCTTTTCCCCCATTGAATAGTCTTTCCCTCTTTGTTGAAAATTAATTGACCATATAGTTGTGGAAATAAGGTTTGTATTATATCTTAATGATTATCACACTAGTTTTATCAAGATTAACAAAGCATACAGTTGAAACCTGTTTAATTCAAAGTCTTAATCGCTTCATAACTTGAAGGATTTAGCAATACTGTAAAATTGCTACAACTTTTCGAATGTTTTTATGTATTCTTTCATCAGTTTTACATACATAGAAATTATATAACTTATTAAGTATGTGTGTATATACATACACATACACACACACACACACACACGTTTGGCCCCCAGTGCACTGGTATCAAGAATTGAGTCTCAGTCTATTCAGTTCTCTTCTTTGTCCCTGGGGTTCCGTCACTGTACCAAGGGGTTTACACTATTCCAGAGCTTTTGGGATGACATTTGGTCATTGAGAGCCTCAGGACCCAACCTGGAATTTGCCAAGAGGTTCTCATTCTTCTCTCCCCTTATTCTTCCTTCACTACAGGTGACCACCACCACCTTTGGTCTCTTGCCCTCAGTCACCCTGAGACATCAGTGCTCTTCTCAGACTTCTAACACCTAAAGAATAAAGGCCCTACATCATAGGACTTGACCTTAGGTAGCAGAACACAGAGAACAATTTGAAACCAATTCTGTTGATTTCCCATCCAAATCAAGAAAACAGTTCTCCAACAGGTCAAAGTACACAACAAGCTCTCACTCACTTTGGTTTCCTTCCGATTTTTTTTTCATGTGCTGAATCATTTTCAACACACTAAATGGCAAGGTTTTTTTCAGCTCAAAATGTCTGTTAGATTAGGAAACTTAGAAGAGTTCTTTATCAACTTCTCTGCTCCATCTTCTGCTGTTTGGGGCAAAAGATACTATTTAGTGAGTGGCAGAACTTCAGGGAAATGAGACAGGGAAGGAAATTCCATCAGTATCTCAAAATACTACCCCACCACATATTTATCTCTCTTAATTCTCCTAAGACATATCTTATGACCTCATAAGCAAGCATTATAATTTTCAATTTAGAGATGTTGCTATTGAGTTACATTGCTGCTGGGTAACATTCTTGAACCCATCTCTCATCTCTGTCTTTACTGCCTCTTTGAATAGAGATCCTCTAAGTCGGTGTTAGCAAAGTACTATCCTCTGTGGCTATGCTGGCAATGGAGACTTGAGGTCTAAAATGAAGATGAATATAATAAACATTTTCTGATTAATTAATAAAGAATGGAAAAACTCAAAAGCCCAGAAAGACTTAACGTATTTTAACACCATAGTACCAAATATCAAACACAGTAGAAGTATGATTCAAAAAGATGAGCACATTTAATATGGACATCTTACTATCAAATATATATAAGCAAGAACCTCAGCCCCTATCCTTGGAAACAGACTAAACCATATCAATTATTTGATAAAGTAAGCATGCTTTTTCTCCCACTTGTAAGTTCACTGAGTTGTGTTTGCTTGAATGTCAGATTCATAATCTGTTTTAGAATATTAATTCATTTTAATTAAGTACCTGTCTGACTTATGTTTGAATGTTTCCTCATATCCAAACTTACATAATTACATTTAATGTTATACATAATTAACCAATGACAGTAGTAGTGGTCACAGATATACTACTCAAGATGGTCTGTATTGGGAGATGTATTAGGAGAAATCAATTATAAAATATACAGTTTAACAGAAATGTAGATTCTATGTGCAAAGTGTGAAGATTTGAGTGAAAAAATATAATTATGTTATTTTCAAGTTTTCATATGTGTGAAAACATGGTTTTTATTTTTCTGAAAAATACAAACATTTAAAAAAAAATATATATATATATATATGTATATATATTCAAAATCTGACCCCTCCAGGGATTTTATAAAGATGTCCAAGAGGCCCATAGAGATGAAAGTTTCAAAGTTGCTTTGGTGAGTGAAAAAAAACATTGAAAATGTCGAATTTACTTCTTCTAAATGCTAGCTCTACTCCTTCAATATTACTTTAAAGTCTTTAAGTTCAACTTCCCTACTGAGAGAGAGCTGATCTTCAGAGTTCAAACTATTTGATGTGATTTTCCCTGCAAAATAACTCTAGATCTCTTGCCTCAGAGGAAACCAGTTGCTCTGGATAATGGTGGATATGAGCGTGAGGGAACTCTTGTCCTAAAGTTGTGTGGGCAAAGGAACCACGCACAGTCAGTGCCTCAGAACAGAGCATTTATCCAAAAAGACCGACCTGGGGTTGGTTCCTCTGCTCACACTTGTGCTTTTTTACCACCGTGTTCTAGTTTCCATGTTCTGTCTTCTTTTGTCCTTTTCTCTAGTTTTATAATGAAAGATAATTTTGAAACTCCCTCCCAACTAGCTTTTTCGCAGGCACAACTATCTAAAACAGCTGTGGTGGCTTTTTTTTTTTTTTCTCCTCATAATTTATGCAGTCAGTCTTTAATCATACTTGAGCTGATATATCACCCCTCATTTACTTGTTCTCTCTCAGGCTAATGCCGTTCATTCTGTGGACCTTTTCCTGGGCCAGTAGAAGTCAGTTGATGTAGGAAAAGCATAATGAGTAGTTTGAAAATTTTCAGGTCTATGAAATTTTGACTGTGAAACTCTTGAAAGTTCACAATATTAATGATTTTCATTAAACCTCTCTCTTCTTTGCAAGACTCTTTATTGAGGGATAGTTACATGCTAAGTTGGTACAAATGTATTTATTAAAACTCCATCATTAATTTTGAAAATTTATAAAACATTTAAACAAGTAAGCTTATCACGACCTACTTTTCCTGTGCATTGTGAAAGGAAATAGTATAAGAAACTCTTATTAAATCATTAAACAAATGAGAATAAATAATTGATCCTAGCAAATGAAGAGTTTCATAAAGAGCCAAAAAATAGATAAGGCAATCAAAAATGATTCTAAAACTCATTTTGGCCTTTTTTTGAAATGGCAGGGATTTTTATTTATGCCTACCTGCTCTACCTGTTCATTTGTTCTGGTTACTAATGTTATTATCTTTTAGTCCGTCATAATTTTTCTTTTTCTATGAAGGAGTCTTTTGTTTTGCTCCTAGGCTTGAATCACCCACCAGGTCCTTGATAATGGAAGCTCCACGAGGGGTGCAGGTGAGCGCTGCTGCAGGAGACTTCAGGGCCACCTGCAGGAAGGAGCTGCATTTGCAGTCTACAGAAGGGGAGGTGAGTCCCCAGGGCCCGAGACTAGCCCTTTACTGCTGAGCTGTGCTTCTCAGAGTATATGCATATTACTCTAGGTGACTGATTCCTGAGAGCTTAAACGATGGAATTATAATACTTCCTGAACACAAAAATTTGGTAAATCTGGTATTATTTTCTTAAAACAAGGCATCATTTATTTTCTATGGAAAGATAACCATTCATGAGTCAATTATAAGTGCGCCATCTAAATTCCTGTAGTTTCAGAATTGGCAGATAAACATAATGAGTATCAAGAGAATGAAGGCAGTCTTTGTTTTTCTTTTTTCTATTCTTTTTTTTGGGGGGGGGGTCTTCCCAAAGTACTTTGGGTGTTTATTTCTGTAAAAATGGTTCCTGTATTTCTTCTGAAAGAAAAATGAAACAAAAGCTATTTTACTATTTAGCTCAATTGTTATTCCCTAGATAAGGAGATAAATACATGCTAACATTTTTCTCCCAGGTTACTTTATTTCCTCCAAGAATCTCCTGTCAGTCTGTTGTCATTCTCTTGAAGATCATTCCCTTTCCCTCACTGTCTGCTGTAAAGAACATTTCGTCTTCCATCTGCCAGTCTGGCACTGGAATGCCGTAGACACACATTCATTTCATGTACCTTGTTATATACATTGTGATTATTTGCCAGCAGAATGACATTTTTTGTCAGTTCTGGAAATTTCTCCACGTTGGGTCTTCTCCTATTACCGCTCCCCCTTTCCTCTATGGCCCTTTTTTGAAACTCTGAAGAAACACATAGCGTTTCTTCCATTCCCTTACCCTCCAGGTATCTTAACTTCTCCTTCCGAGTTTCTATTTCTCTGTCTCCCTGTGCCTTACTCTGTTGTTATTCATATCTACATGCCCAGGTTCCTTTTCAGTATCTAATCATGTATTTAAATGCCTCTATTGAGCTTTTAATAATTAGGGGTGCCTGAGTCTCTGAGTCAGTTAAAGCGTCTGCCTTTGGCTCGGGTCATGGTCCCAGAGTCCTGGGATCGAGCCCCATGTTGGGCTCCCTGCTCAGCAAGGAGTCTCCTTGTCCCTCTCCCTCTGCCCACAACCCCACCCTCACTCATGCTCTCTCTCTCTCTTCTAAAATACATAAAATATCCAAAAAATAAAATAATTTTAATAGTTATGTTGTTCATTTTTAGGGTTCTCATTTGTAATTTTTTTTAATCTGCCTGGACATCTTGGTGGTCGCTCTTTTGCTTGCTTCTTTTTAATTCTATTTTAATTATTTCAAATCTTTATACAGAGTATATATTGTGTATTTTTTTGCTACAATTCCCAAAGTACTTTAAAGTCTAAATCTGTTGCATTGCTGTTTCTACCAATTAAGTCCCTTAGTATTTTCTTCCTTCTCGTGCTTATTTTATTATGAGCTTATAAAGGTCAAGTTGAGAAGAAAAGGAATGGGAGAATAACTTGAGAAATATGCTCTGGAGCATTTTATAGGTCTTCAGATGTAAAGACGAGGGCAGAAATCAATAGAATCGAAGGAGGACATTCCTTTCTTACCTTTATACCATTATTTCAGTTGTTGATTCAAGATGAATTTTAATTGTATATTTTACTTCCTTTTTTTATAAACAAACCTACTGGCAGGACCATATTAGCATCTTAGTGGATATTACAACTTAAATGACCTAGAAATACACTTTGTAATATTTTAAAAGTATGTCCGTCTTACCTTTCAATCTTTCTTTCTGCTGCAATTACAGAATACAATACTTTCTCTACCACAGCAAGATGGAAATCTTTCTTAAATATCTTGCATCCTTTTTAAGGAGTTGCTTTTATCATGCTAATCATTTCATTCTAATTATTCATAATGAATCATCCCCTAATAAATATTGGTGGTTATTAATCTCTGTTCTGTTCCTATTTATGCACCACTTTACTTACAATCTTTTATTCAGTGTATCAGCAGAATGAATCCTTGGATTCAATTACAGGTTAGCATTTAATTGTGAATTGAATATTATGCTATAAATAAATCATAGCCTGAGATTTTCAGCTGTGGCCATTTTTTTATATTAATATCATAAAGACACAGAAAAGCAGAGCACTTTATATCAGAATAAAATAACATGTAATTTTCCTAGGAAAAAATGAAGTGATATGAAATCTTTCTCTTTGCTTCACTGACTATGCTGCAGAAAAGCCAGACTGATCATTTACTAAACAAAATAGAGGTAAAGTACCTCCCTTAGGCTGTTTTTAAAGTAGCTAGGATCAGAACAAACGTGGTTTTGAGGTAACAAAGTAACAAACAAAATGCCAAAGAATGAAATTGCACGCTTTAGTCATTTCAGACGTAGTGTAGCAAGGAATCTCAAACTCGGCTCTGAAAGTAACCCAAATCATAATATAGGTAGAACACTTTGAAAAAAGAAAAGTGTTACAACAGCACATGAGAGGAGGCAATAATGCAATAACATATATGTTACAAGATCACAGAGAAAGAGGAAAACAATTTTTTTATTTTGCAGATCAACTGAGATTGGCTCTCACAGTGAAAGGCCTGATTTCAAAGGGTGAGAAAGAGATAAGTGAATTCTTGGTGCAGAGAGGACCGTGGGCCATGACTTAAAGGCTCCGGCGTGAGAATCGGAGTTCCAGGAAGAGTTTTAGAACAAATGGATTCTATGATTATAGGGCAATATAGAATAGAAATATCACTTTTAGAATTGGGAACTTGAATAGTATCACAGTAACTGTCTTAGCAGAACAGAAAGTGATATGAGCAAGTCTGTCAGTTACCAGACTCAGGTCCTTAGACCCAGCAGTGGTAGAGACGAGACTAGACCCCAAATGTAGAAGCACAGGCAAGGCTTTCTTGGGGCTCATGCCCCAGCACCAGGAGTGAGTGGGTGAGAAGCATGAAGGAAAGAACCCTCAGGCCTGCTCTCCAAGGAGAGGTCAGGTGGAATATTTTTTAAAGGAACTTCAGTGAGAAAAGTGTGCCCTGTAGGCAGGGAGAGATGGGGGTTCATTAGCTCCTGAGTACTCACAGGCCCTGCTGCTTGGCTAACTCTCCACCCCGGGCATGGTTTTCAGTATTCTAATGAGAGAAAAAGTCCATGAAGGTCCAGTGCTGGGGTCCGTCCTGGTGCAGACTGGGCTTGCTCCTTAGCTGGTGCTCTGCTCTGCAAGGAAAGTGCTCACAGTCACTGAGAGTTCTGCGAGAGGAGTGATGAGAGCCAGCACGCAGCAAGTTATCCAGGTGCACAGGGGCTTGTTCCCAAGGTCCCTGACTATCTCATTTCCCCCCTGAGAAGTTTCATCCTCCTTAATCTTAAAGAGAAGGGGCTACAGTTCTCATCTTCTGAAACTGCTTCCTGCTGAGTGGGGGCTCTGTCCCTCTCCTCCCCTGGAGGTAGGAAAATCTCACGCTCACTGTTCCATGCACTCAGAGGGCCTTGGGTCTTCCTGTAGTGGTAGAGGTTGGAATCCTCCTGCCACCATTAGCTTGACTTGGAATTGTTGGAACTTGAAAGACACAGACTTATACTAACAGGTTAACAGATGGGGACCAAAAATAATAGCCACCAATCATCCCAGGAAAGGGAAAAAAAAAAAAAACAGAAACAAACAAACAGCAACAACAACAAAACCAAGAGGGATTGGGGAGGGCACTTTTGATTGTTGACCAGATATAGTTAGGATCTGTCCCTTGGTTGTACTAATGCAGGCAGGATGGGTTTTGTTAATAATAGCATAGGCTCTTCCATGTTCAGCAAGCAGTCAGGTAGTTAATAAGAGGTATTTCTGTGAAAACAAAAGGAAACACAGGCTGATGGTTCGAGCAAATTATAAACCCAGTGTCTGAGTCCAGACTGTTGCCAGGGAGAAGATTTCTAGATATCAAGCCTCAGAGGACCTTTAGAGCAGGGGCAGGCCACAGCGATCCGACGGATTTCTCTGATTTATAGTTCAAATTCTCCCATGATCTTCTGAGGGGCCCCTAGAGCAACAGACATGAGAATTGTCTGTACATGAGCTACCATGACAATTCCTCTAGAATTTACTTCAAGTTTTCTAACTCTGGTCCTATCTGCAGAGCTTCAGGAAAAAGGACAGTTTTACTCCTTCATGAGCCCAAGACAAGAAAATGCAAGAAGACTGAAAGCCCTAGTTTGGAGAGACTTAGCCAGATATTTGAGGAAACCAGAAGAATTCTGGATCCAGCCCAGTCGTATAGGCAAATGACAAACACTTAAAAGATAATTAATCAGAACTAGAATCTAACGTGCACAAAGGGCATGTTATTGAAACACAATTTTCTCTCTAAAATCACCCTCATTTTCATCAAACATAGCCAGATGAAGACAAATTTATTTGTAAAATAAGTCTAATTTTAACAAACTTCACTTAATTATTTATGTAAGTACAATAAGAACAGCGATTGACCACGTAAGTTCTCTTTAATCTGCATTGCTGGGACTTTTGTAAGGGATTTTAGGTTGAACTTTTTTAATAGCCTCTCGAGGCCAGAAGCCAAGCCAGATACTTGTCATTAGATTTGCCTGCAATACCTGTAGATTTGGGTGACTTTTTCTTAAGTTTTCCAACAGATCCTTAGGTTCCTGCACCCCAAGAAGTGACCCCCTTTACTCAACTGGGAACTCTATAAGCAAGGAACCAGGCCAACAATTCAGAGGGGCTCTATCAGTTCCATAAAGTCAAACTTAGCTCCTTGAAGTTATCTGGTCATGTCTGAGTCTATGCATGACTCTCTCAAATATGACATTCTGGACTAAGCCTTGGTAATATAACCAATGTTTCCAATGGTGTCCTGTTACAAGGAGAACAGATTCTTACTGAACTTATATAAACAATTACAATTGCCATGAAAGAATGCTCACTGCGAGTTTCTGAATTCTGAAGGGTTCAGGAGGGGAGAAAACAAATGCCTCAAATTGTTCAGAAAGTAATATTTTATCAAATTTCTATAAGTCGCAGATATCATAAGATAACAC